AGCTATAACTGGATCTAAAGACTATCTCGAGGTGCAGTAGGCTTCTTGGGCCGTTGGCCCACAGGACTGGGCAGGACGATGGCGACGAACTCGTGGAACCACTGAGAAAACGAAGTCTCTTGGGGTTTGTTCTGGGCGCAGCCTCCCCTGCCCGCTTTGGCGCCGGCTCTCATTTTCCTGGAATTGGCCCCTTCTGCCCGCCCTCTGCGTGCCTCGCTCCCTTCTTGTCGCCGTTGTGTTGGGGTCTTGACGTGTGGTCTGTCCCCGGGCCGCCCGTGTGTTCTCCCCAGGGGGGTGGGGTGCTTTGTGAATTGACCCAGTGGTCATGGCTGTTTTCTTCCTCGTGATCTCCTGATTTCCCCGCCCCGCCAGACCGCGGAATCTGAGGGATGGTGTCAGAGGTATGCTTCTCTGCCACGCCGCAAACGTGGCTGATTTTCAAAGCAGTTACCTTGGGAAACCCACATTTATTCCAGTGACGCCACCCTTGTTCAGCGCGGCCCTGGACTAGCCTTCAGCGTTGGTGGCGCCGCCTTTAGCGCTACCTTAATGACGGCAGTTCACAAGCCTGGCAGGCCCTGTCTGTGATGGCCTAGTAGTGGGGCGAGGGGCTGAGCACTAGGACCAACCATTGAGAAGAATTACATGGGTTGATTCATGTGGCTTTTCAACTGGCCTGGAAGCAATTTTGTACTTTCAGAGAGTGTTTTGAGCCACGGCCACCTTATCCTAAGTCTATAGCTTCCCAAGGTGACTCCTTGAAGCGCAGCCTTGTTTGGGCCAGGAAGCTCTGGTCTGTGTTGTGTACAGACACCTGCCTGGTCCTGGGTCGTCCCAGGTTCTGATTTCATCGAAGGCAAACAAGGGAGAAGAGGGAGACTGCCCCACCTGTGAATTTCTCTCATTGGCGCCTTTCCCCCAGCTGTCTTCCAAGTATTATTTTTACTGTTGAAAAAAGTTTTTTAAAAAATGTGAAATGTAATGTTTTTACAGCAGCAATATGAAATATATTTTATAAAGAATAAAACGGTGCACTGTCTTCTTTAATTTGTGCCTGTTTGCATGCAGGAAATAGGATCAACATCGAGTCCTTGGGGTTAAGCAAATGATACCACGATGTTGGCAATTCACATACGTTCATCTGCACATAGCAGCGCTTGATGAGTGGTTCAGACCTACCAGTGGCTCCACAAGAGGAAAGACCTCGTCATTCCCCAGAAAGATTTACAGCCTACGAACCCCTGTGTGACACTTCCATTTAAAACACTGGGAAGGTTTTGCCCTCTTAAGAACCTGAGGTAGTGGTGGTGGGGGCAGCTGGGAGACCCCGGGAGAAGCCCGTTTCACACTGAGTCACACTGGTTGTGCAGGAGAAGCACCCGTTCAAGTAGTGAGGCACTGAGGTGCAGAGTGGCAGGGGTCTGCGGGGGAGGAGAGATGGCAGCCAGTCAGAGGCATTTAGGACTATGACAGTTTTGGAGTACAGTTTAGGGATCCCTAATAGTGGGGCACAGTTGAGTAAGCATTGCACTGCTGATCCCAAGGTTGGCTGTTGAAATCCACCAGCTGCTCCATGGGAGAAAATGAGGCTGTTTGCTCCCATAGAGATTTATAGTCTCAGAACCCCTACATAGGGCTGCCAGGAGTCGGAATCTACTCGAGGACAATGGGTATAGCTTTTTTGTTTTTAAATTGTGCTTCACAGAGGGTGCAGCCACCTCTGAGGAAACACGGCCTTGGTGAAGGCAGAGGTTGGTTGAACCTGACAGCCTGTAAAGCAGGTGTGGGAGGCGGTCTTTCTCTCCCATATCTTGCAGTAGAACGGAAGACTTCTACCCTGCACCCACCCCACTCCTCTCCCCCGGCCCCCGGTTTCATTTCTCCTGGCTCGTTTTCCTCTGATAAAGTACAAGGGGGGGAAATAGAATCAGCCTGTGCTACTGCAACTTGATAGAGAGCCGGCACCGCTCCC